CTTATCATGATATCTCACGCGATGACGACACAGGAGGCGGCGGTCCTGACCAAGCTCTACCAGCTCGCTGTGGTGTGGAAGGAGCAGAAGGAGAGGAACGAGGTGCAATGCTCGTGCCGAATGGCACTCTTCTTGGGACTCCTACAGGGGCTCGATCGGCTTCGGTCCCTGGAGCAGGAAAATGCAGAGGCGAAGGCGGTCAAGGAGAGGATCCAGGAGCTGGGCTACGCCTACCAGCCGGAGGGCATGACCGAACTGCACTGGCCCTACATGAGATGGAATCAGGAGAAAGGGGCCCTGGAGAGGGTTCAAGATTTGGAGCCGATGCTGCAGAGCCAGGTCGTGAGCACGATCATCCAGCTGCAGGCGACCATCGTCGGCCCCAACGTCTTGCAGAAGTTTCATTCGACGAGGCGGATGGCGGCAGCCTACCAGGGAGAGACGGTCACTTTTCTGCTCTCAATTGGGCTGAGGGATGTCATGGCCTCGCAGGCGTGGGGAATGTTGACCACCCTATGCGGCAACGCCAGCTCCAAGATCATCGGTTTGAGGATGAGGCCAATCAAGATGGATCGGCAGCCGATTGCCAAGGTGGTGGCAGAGAGGTTCCCTCCGCCACCAGAGCGGAGTCAGGGGCAGCGGTATACCCAGAGGCAGAGCGAGGCGGTCGAGGAGAAGAACAAGTCGGACGCAGAGCTTTGAGGCGGGACTTACTGGCTACGGTCAAGCTTGGCAATCGCTCTAATCTTTGCTATATCAATGCCAGCAGCCACCTCATCTATTGGATGGGGAGTGGCTGTGACTCACAATTTGCTTATGGCAGGATGGCGGGGGCGATGCAAAGCCTACGGCGCAAAGGCGCAGTTTTGCTTCCAACCTTGTTACCTTGGCAGCAGCTTCTTTCAGGCTGGAGCTCTCTACACATCCAGCATGACGTTTGTGAATTCATTGGTTTTATCCTCGGCAAGTTTCAGCCAGCAGCCTACTATGGAGCCTGGGAATCTCGCCACGATGCAAGTCTTTCACCTGAGGGTAGTGGGGCTCGTACGGTGGACTCAGGTTCGAGCTTCATGCCCCTCCCTCTCGAGCTGCACGGCCGGAGCTTTCAGCACAGCATCTACCATTGGCATGCCCTTCAGTCCTCTTCAGTGCAAGCTTTCACCATGCTGCCGGAATTGCTCTTCATACAACTTAAACGGTTTCGTATGGGGGCCTCTGGCACAATCAAAGATTTGACGGAGGTTGTCATTCCGGCCGATGAGCTGGTGAGAGTGCCGTGCTTCCAAGGCCCTTCCTCGTGCAATGTACAAATGGTTTCTTATCAAGTCACTGGTGTTGTTTATCATCTTGGGCAGGGACTTTTGACGGGACATTACCGAGCTGCTCTGAGTGGCCCCTCACGCACTGGCAGCAGTCTCCTGGTGTTCCATGATACGGATGATAATCGGGGCATTCAAGAGATGCAGAGTCGTCGCCATGAGGTTGACACATGTGGATATGTCGTAGGTCTCAGAAGAATTTCTTAATTTCCATTTATCGTATTGCTGCGGTGTTTTGAGGACACCTGCTGAGCATCCAGTTTGTCTTGCAGAGCCTGCTTGGTGCTTCGGCACGGGGCTCTGTCGCTCTTATAGCTTTGACAATGCCGAAGAGCATTGCTGCCATCACCAACCTGGTGTGAGCAGCCGGAACTTAGATTCTGATCGTCCGGACGCATAGCTACGGATCTCGTTGCTGCGATGCAAAGT